TTATGGCTAATGAACATAGAGAGACCACCACTCCAAATGACCGGTTTGAAAGGGGAGGCTAGGGGGCTATTGCTCGGACCCCTCTCCAAATTCTGTCGAAAGAGATACGAGAAGATTATCCTTTTTTCAAGCGAGTTAACCTCGTCTTGTCTCTTCCATAGTTTTTTTTTTTTGCTAAATATTGTCTCTTCCATAGTTAGAATCCCAGATCTATTGACTTGTTACCCAAAGGGTACGCACAGTTGTCCTTCCATTTGCACTGCATTGGTATTATCCTTCATCTTGATACATCAAATCGTGGGGCGTCACTGAATGATGTTGTTGCATGGGACAGAGGGAATTTATTACAACGGGGCCCGGAATACAAGGGAAGATGTCTATCGGTTGTACCAAACAAGGGATGCTATACAATTGCTTGGAAATGGCTTAGAAAAGACAGACAAGGAGGACTCGACTCTGAAAAGAACAAAACAGCCTTCATTGTCCTGCTTCTTCTGTTTGATTGTGTCTCGCAAAGAAGCTTTTAGTGTCGCTCAAACTTGAGTTCTGTCGGTTCTACTTGTTTGGGGCGATATTGGTAGGATAAGAGATCCTTCAAAATTAAGAAGGGATAAATTACATGTTACATCACTCTTCAAATTGTTGACACATTTGTTAGTGGTCTGCCCTAAGAATCAATCAAGGTTGATACTCTAATATTAGTTGTGGATTAGGTTGTGTCGGAAAACCGATCTTCACTATACTTAAGTAGTCATAATATCTTGCTAGAGACCGCTTATGATTTGTGGGCCAAAAAAGTTTTGGGCACACTGCTAATGTTTAGTGAACCTACATGGTTGCACATAATAGCGAACGGACTTAATATTGTCTGTGCGCCTTGATCTACTTAAGAAGTAGATTTTAATTTATTCTCCTATTTAAATTATCTATGCGGTCGTGCGCGTTATGAGATAACGATTAAACGTACGATTGAAGGTGGACGGTTTGGCAGACCCAAATAGCCCGGCCCACTTCTTTTAATTCCGCTAAATAATGAGGCTGTATAAATAGATAGAGAATCGTTCTCTGTCTAGGGTTTTTTTTCGATAGAGTATCGAAAATCAAAAAGCGTTCAAGAAAAAGGAACTTCAAGATCTTTCGCCAGCACGTGGATCGTTGGAGAATTCCGTTCGTGTGTGTGGATACCGGTAGAGGCGCAACACTTGGGACGCTCATCCAGACATAATCAGTTGCTGATTTATCTTCGATCTGCAAAAGGTACGTACCGAAATTCCTTTTCGATTTCAATATACACATGGATCCTGTCTAGGGTTCTATATTTCGCTGCGTTGTTTTCGTTGATGAACCCTACAACATTAAGCAGCTAAAGGATCTAGGTTAAGCATATTACTGTCTTGTCATGACTTCATCAATTTGAACAGTTTAGAAATATTACACACAACCTTAATTGTCAAAACTAACTCTCTCTCTCTCTCTCTGCCCCGCCGTCAAGAACCATCATGCACCCCGACATTGCCTGCTTGCTGATCTTTGGGGTGCAATTTCGCGAGAACCATCATGCACCTCGACATTGCCTGCTTGCTGATCTTTGGGGTGCAATTTCGCGAGCTCGACGCATGCCTCCATAGAAGTGATTTGCAACCATCGTGCCGATTGTTTGCTTGGAAGAGTCATAGGGCTCGAAGGTTCTAGGCTTAGGATACCTCATATCGAAGTTTGCAACCTCAGTCATGAGAGGAAGGGGGAAGAGACGCGGCAACAGGTCAATTGAACACAATATCTAAAAAATAGAAAAAGAACAAATTATAGATTTACATGGTTTAATGGAGGTGAGCTCTTTCCAAGGTATCGAGGTCCAAAACTTTCCTATTGTGGCAAGCCCATCCAACATGTCAAAACCACATGTCAACCTTCTTTCGATAGATCGCTCCTAATAATAGTTTGGCGGATCATATCACATTATCAATCATACGACGTCTCCCATTTGACTAGGGCCTTGAGTCTCTAGAGCGAGACGTACAAATCATTTCAGCATAACAACTGTTTTCAGCCTGCTATGTCCATTATTAGGAGAGTGGCGTCGGCTTTGGACGAGTTCGCGCATGGATGGCTAACCCCGACTAAGATCCTCTAAGATCATTTTCATCCTTAACCCGGATTCCTAGCACTAATACCCCGATGCCACTCCCATGACTTGATTGCATTGACCTTTCTGCATTTCTCACACTACACTCAAATGCCACTAAACCCCACTTTTCAGCATACATGTGTCACGGGTCGATCGATCTAGCGTTCCCACACCCGTGCGGCCTTAGGAATTTCTCCCCAAGTAAGCCTTCCCACACTCACACTCACAAGAACTTTAGAGAGAGAAACTCTAGAGAGAGAAGCTCTCAACTTTGTATTGCTTCTTGAAAATGAGAGATAATAAAATGAGGGGGAGGAGACCCCATTATATACAAGTATCGGGCTGATCATATCAGTAGATCTCACCCCGATCTCAACGGTCGAGATCGTACTCCTCCAACTACCCCACCTACCGCATTTATTACGGAAGGGTACAATTACCGTATCGCCCGCCCCCAGGAGTATTCTAGAAGACATCAAGAAAATCTTAGTACTAGAACACTCGGGGCCCGCCTTCTCGTCCAAGGGTCGGTCACGGTCCATCGTCCAGAAAACCTCAGGAACGATCCAATTCTTCGGGCCGTGACACATGAATATGAGAAAAATCGGACCTAATATTCTCCCCCACCCGATTCCACACAATGCCCTCGTTGCAGACTATTTGCTGCCGTTACGTTCCTCATCTATCATCGCCACTCCCCGGGGACTTACATGAATAACATATTGGAGAAAATATCTCTCAACAGCAAAGCAATTCCAAAAAAGTGCTCTCAATCAAGTCAAGACCAGACAAGCAATTCTTGTACTATTGACAAGTGCAGTGAGAGTTTCCAAAGCTGACAAATTCATTTTATCTTTCTTTGCATAGAGGATTTTATCTTTCCATGTATAGTGGCTGTAGTTAGGAAAGTTGTTGTACTATAGTTATTCTAGCTGATGTCTTTCCATAAACTATCAGCTACCTTGTACTTTAAATACATGTAAGAAATAATAGTAAATATAATCTTGTCCAATTCTTTATAGCAGACCCTCATCCAAGAAAATATGCCTCTTCACCCCATTAGTTACTTCCCTTGATATGTTGTTCATGGATCTCCAATCACTTGTACTTCCCTTAGTAAGAGTGGCACCTAGAACCAATTGTGCTCCCTCGATAGTACTTTCTATTACCTACTAGGCTTTCCCGATCTTAGCACACCACTGGAGGTTTTTGCTTTTGATTGGAAAAGTGGCAATCAATCTTCTCATGGCATCCGCCCATAGAGTTTGGGAAACCTACTCTTAGACTAAATGTCACAGGCCAAAACTTTCTTGGCTAAAGACAAGCTCGTGCGAAACCTGATGAGTCGAGACACCATGCCCACCTCCTTCAATATCTCGTCTCCAAGAACAATTTGGTGAATCACATTATCAAATAAGTTAGCACCACAACTAGTTTAGCCTATTGTGGCCATCATTTAAAGAGCAACATTAGCTCCAAACCAATTTATGCACAGGTGGCTGTCCTCCCTTCCGAGATCCTGCAAGATGACAATTCAAGATTCCTAGCACAAACACCCGAATGCACTCCCACTACTCAGTGATACTGATCCTTTTACATCTTTCACACTCACACTTCACAACCATGATACAAAACCTCACTTTTTAGCCTATCTGGGTATGGGAGAAACCGCATCTTGACACTAGGGACAGCACTAGAAGATTTCATTATATATCAAATGATACAATAGAGATTACAAACTACTTTTGAATCGCTAAAAGCTAAGGGTGAGCGGTTCTAGGTTCCATACAAGTTCCACTTGAAACCTGTAACCTACCCATTGGAACAGGTTCCTCATTTTTTGAAATTTGGAACCTATTCTACATACCGTGAAACTTGAAACCTACTCTGTCATAGGTTCTAGGATCTATCCAGGTTCCACATGTATGATTAATTGAATGATTGCAGTGAATTATCACCTTGAATGACCGCCCCTTGCTGCTACAATTCATTGACCACAAATTATGTTTAGACATACAAAGAATACGAATCATTAACAAAGTAGAAGTCTCAGTTACAAAATGAAAGCTCGGATTAGTGATTCCAGATTATACACACATCATCAGATACCATAGAATATCACAAGATTGCACAAAGATATAGATCAAGAAAAACACAAAAACTCGTTTCAGGTTTCAGGTTCCATCTACCTAGAATCTAGAATCAATCCGTCGAAACAGGTTCCCCAATTTTAGAACCTGGAACCTACCATCTATACCTCAGAACCTAGAACTGACAGTTTCCACAGATCCTGTTATCAGGTTTCAGGTTCTACTCCGGAACCATGTTCACCTGCACTAAAAGCTCTTCTTTTTCTTAGCCCTAATTGCACGCATAGATTCCCACATTAGCACTCACAGTCTCATGAAACTACAAACAAATATCACAAACGGACTCTTACAAAACCTTTTTCTGACCCTAACAAAGCTTAATCACTCCATTAGGTCGGATCCAACATGTCAACAGAGAATTCTAAAACACTCGAATACATCATAAAAGACCCACAAATCCTAATCCGGACAGTGCCCCATCTGGTACAGCGCCCGCCCTGCACAAAGCTTGCTATAGGCATCGGGCCGCCGGCCTCTGGCCCAGGGCAATCCTAGTCTTCATCCGGGCACCCGGGTTCGATCCTCCAGGCGCCCCCTTCTCTCCCTGACTCCCTATGCACGCAAGAGGCGGACACATTTGAGTCAGTTCTTTCTAAAAACAGGGTCAAATTCGAGACAGACCTCCCCAATTTTCCACTCATTTACAAGCCAGAACACGAACACTGTAAGGGGAATGTACAAGAAGACTAGCACAAAAAGCAAATGACTATCAATCACAACTCTTTACTCAACATCAATTTCTTTGCGTCCATCGACTCGTCCACAAAGTCCACGGTACAGACACCAAGTTGAATTCGAAAACGGACAAAAAGAGAACGAAAGAAAATGATAAAGTAGAAAACAAAAAAAACTCATATCACATACAAATGAATAATCAACATCTACATGGAGTTACCCATATAATAATAACATTTACAGAGCAATGGATATAGAGAGAGAGAGAGAGATTGAGAGAGAAGTGTGTGGTGGGTTTTGGGGATTCTGTATGGGCGGATGTGGTCCAAAATGCATCATCAATCACCGCATAACTTCTGCGTCTCTTCCCTTTCATCATGTGAGCTTTACATGTAGAGTCAAGAACAACTCACACACAAAGCCGTTGGAAAATCCAAAGAGCTCAAAATCCTCTCGCACACCAGCCGTGAGGCACTTTTGTTCTCTTCTTCCTTCCTTTCTATGTCCGGCACGTGAATGCGGAATCAACTCTCCACCCACAGAGCCTGAGGCTGAAACTGAAAGAGAGACCGAGGTCTCCTGTTTTTTTTTTTTCTTACGGTAGTGGGGGTGGTGTCATAGCAAATTGTGGTGTTGAACTCTGATGGGCAAGCCTTTAGGGAAGTCGACGAATGGGAAGGCGAAAGCTTCGTCCGGCTCAGTTAGCTCCCAGCTGAAGTTGAGGACCAAATGGTGGATGAAAACCGCCATCTCGAGCTTCGCCAGCTCGGATCCCGCGCAGAGCCGTGGTCCTCCACCAAACGGCATGAAGTAATTTGCACTCAGGCATGTCGAGGAAGACGATGTTGAAGACGACGAATATTGCGATGACTGTCCTTGAGGGTTAGAAGCACATTTGTTCTGCATAATTAAGCCAAAGTATATTCACGATGGAAATACATTATAAAAAAGGAGAATATCGTAGATCTTTTGTCCTAATAACCCAGGAGCCCTAGTCTTAACACATAACATAAGGAGGATATAGGGAAATATCTGCAGACTTCCTTAAAACGTGCAAGAGAGTATAACAGGGATTAACATAGTTATCTCGTCATATTACGAGGAGTTATAAGGACATAACACATAAAGAAGCATAAAAACTATCAAAGCAAGAACGAGGTTATTACAACTTGGACATCACATACGCGTATGCGCATCGATTAGTTCTAACGGTCCTTATTTATGTGATGCACTTGCAACTAATAGGCACGCGGTGCCTAAGAATCATGGTAGGATCTTAAGCCTTGGATAAAACTCAGTTTTTGCTCTCCCCTAACTTCAGCAAGTTACTAAAAAGAAGCTTATAATGAAAGAGCCCAAATGCAAAATTTAGATAACCAGATGCTTATGGCATATAAAAAGAAAGAGTAAAAGATGGAAAAATTGCTCGGTCGAACCAGACATGTCCACAGGATTAAATCGGGCTTCATATAATAAATATGCAGGTTCTTCCCTCTCCTTTTCGTACCATACTTTTGGACAGCAGGTGGGAGACCAATTCATGTCGAGATGGTCCATCTACACTTATTATCAATCAAGTACTTGTCTTTATCCAAGCCACGCTTCTCCAATTCTCATGGTTAAACCACTAACGCCTTCACCATCCCATATGGGTGCTACATTAACTCATGCAACTTACATCGTAAGTAAACGAGCCATTGAACAATATGCAAGAATCTCTCCAGTTCACCCATCACCCACCAAACTTGTCATCCTCACTTAAGTCTCAAGTCTCTACGTTTGACCTCTTCTTATGAAGAAAAGAACAGCAGATCATGGAGCTGAAGGAATCTTGACAGTAATGGGGTTGCAATAGAATACAAAATTTCCAACTCATGAACACAAAATCCGAAGGGAAATGCATTTGAGGATGGTTGAAGAAGGTGCAACCAACCGGAAGGCGTGTCAATCATTGCTGTACAATGATTTGCATCGTCGCTCGGAATTTTGACCTAAAACAATACAGATCTAGTTCTCACCATTGCCCGAGCCGAAACATGTCGAATCGTATCGGGTCCGATCATGTCATGTTGGATTCGATTTTTTATTTTATTTTATGGTTTAGCTTTCTTTAGGGTACATATCTTGTATTAATCTTTCATGGTCAGGACGTTGTATAACTCATTACACCTCTAGCAGGTGATATCATCCATGTGAAACGAACGGTTGAAATTAACTGGCTTCGGGGGTTCAGTCCAACTTATCAAAAATCTAATGAAATATCTACCACACCCTAACTTAGGCAAGCCCCTAAGAAATTGGAAAACACCATCCGTCAATTCATCAATCTCCCAAAGCGCAAAAGAAGAAAATCAAACCAATGATTCGTATTCAAAAAAAAAAAAAAAAACAAACACAAGCACACGAGAAAGTTAAATTTCGTATTTCGTGCCTAATTATCGAGAGATCTCTAAGTGCTTTTGAAATCCGACGTCGCTGTCCCGTCCAAATCAATCCGTCGCGACGAAATTTTATCGGCTCGATCGGAACACGATCCCCACAATAATTGACGGGTATCGATTGGTTCGAGTAGACGAGAACGCCTCGGACCAAAAAAAACCTAGAAATTTCTCCATCCGTAAACGGTCGAAACGTGAGCCTCTTAGCTACCTTTTTTAAGGCACGAATGGGAATTGTTCTTCCCCCCTCTCTCTCTCTCTCTTTCTCTCTCTCTTTGGGACCAGCTCGCGAGCCCCCGGGGCCCGTCGGTGAAAGATGGAAAGAGAAAGAGAGAGAGAGAGAGAGAAGAGGGGGGAAAAAGGCGGAGCGAGGTGCACGTGCACGTGTGAGGCCCACGACCCACATGGGCTTCACTATCTGTCCCCGACCCACATCCCCCCCCAATCGAATCTCCCACCCGCACGCGTAGTCCACGCGCACGTGCGGCATGACCGGTCGCCGTCGGGGGCGGGACCGCCCGTCCGTACGGCCCGACGTCGCGTGAAGCCTAGCTCTGGTCAGGCGGGCGGGTTCACAGCCACGGTTCGCTGCCGCCGCCGCCATGTGTTATTGCCCCGGAACCCCTTTATGATGACTTGATATAACCGTCCCTCACGTGACTATGCGACGGCAGTAATTTCACCGGCAATAGTAATTTTTAAAAAAAGTGAAAAAAAATAAATTAAAATGGCCCGTGAAATTTTTTTTCTTAAATAAATCAAGGGCCAATTGCATTCGAAAGATTCGAAAGGGATTTTCTTTTGGTTTCGAGAGCTTTTTTCGTACTTTCTTTTTTTTGGTCGAAACTTTTTTTCATACTTGGCTTCCGTTTTTTGAGCACTTTTTGCATACGGGTTTTGCAAATTGCACCCCCGTAAAACTAGCTGGTTTTACAAGCAACTGCAATGTCAGCATCAAATTAGTTTCTCATTTGTCTCGATCGATAAAACTCCAAGAAAACAGATAAATACAACGACACAACACAAAACCGAAGAGTGAAAAGATTTAATAGGTTCTAAATTATTATTATTATTATTATTATAATTATAATTTTGGGCACTAACAAGACTTTTGGGTTTAAGATAACGAGACAACAATCGATCTTTTGCCACGAAGTGAGGGGCGGAGGAAAAGTAGATGCCCATCAACTTCACGCAATTGTGGAAACATGACAAGGGTCGAATCGAAAAACAACAAAGCAAAACACGATGGAATGCAAGCAAGGTTTCTTTAAAAAAATAGAGAGAAATTAAGAGTTCAATAATTGGAGGATAGCGATGTAAAAAGACGGATTCGTGTGGATTAAGGGAAGTGGTTCGGTCCAGAAATCGTGTCTTTAGTCCAATGATTGATTGATCAAGGCATCAGAAGATAGAAGCCCGAGTTGCACGAGGGTTTAACCTCATGTGGGTTTGTCCCCATGCACCGTTTTAACTGTCTTGTACAGTTTGTATCTTTGCAAATTTTTGGTCATTGTCCTATCCAATTTAATCCTAATATTTTATGAATAATTATTCCCCCTTAATCCAGTGGGCAGCACCAAGGCTTTCTAGGGTTTGGGGCACGAGGTGCTTGATCATCGATGTCACGTTCGAATGATTCAAAAGGAAGTTAGAAGTTAAGGGTCCGTCCGTTTTAGGGAAAGCCATTTTAGGGAGATTGGTTTGCCGACTTCCCGGTGTTTGGATAACGGAAAACTAATCGATTTTCCCCTAAACCATGGTAACAAGTAAAAAACTTACTATTTTCCGTTATTGGAAAGTTTTCGGTGAAACAAACGAATCATTAGAATCAAGAGGAGGAAGAGGAAGAGAAAAGGGGAAGCGGGCAAGAGAGGTGAATGAGTGGAAACTGACCTGCCACCGCCAAGGGTTGAAGTGGTGAGGGTGGTCGAAAAGCAGGGGATCCAAGTGCACGGCTGCTATCACCGGCAGCACTTTCCATCCACATGGAATGTCATACCCTTTTTCACACAACCACCACCATAAATTATTACAACTATATAAAACACACATGAACACCCCCCCTCCCTCCTTTTGCCCCCCAACCCCCTCCAAAAAAACATAAATATGCACTGTTTTATGTTCGAAACTCAGGTTCGAGAAAAGGGCTTTCGACGTTCCGACCGCGAGGATTCGGACGATCGATCGGTGTTTTGAAAATAGAAGGGTTTCCTAATTAAAGGGTATTTAACAAGGTTCTTTTTTTCTTTTGTGGGGGGTGGGCAAATAGTACAGGCATGGCCCCAAATGAAAAGAGGGGATGGTCAATTCGTCTTCACCTTTGTACCTGACGTCCCGCAGCGCCTTTCTGTGCAGAAACCTCACCACGTTCCCCAGCCGGAGCGTCTCGCTAATCACCTTCGCAAAATCCCAACAGAAAACGTCAGCACCATCCCCATTACAGTCTTAAACCTTAAAAGTCAAAACCGAAGTCAAAGGACAAGTCCCTTCACGCCACGAGATAAATGTCCCGAGTCAAATTTTCATGCAGATCGCCGTTCTCGATCCGTTCGAAAACAGGTCATTCATGCTATATGATGATACTCTCGTGATCTAATTTTGAAAATTAGGCGTGACCCGTGGCGCCGTACCTTTAAGTGGTTATAATTATTTTACCAATTGAGTTTCTTAGTCCCCTCTTGAAATTTTAAGAAAGAACAAATTGAAAACAGAACAGTTCATTTTGTAGCGGGGGGAGGGAGCTTACACACTGGGTGAATTCCATCTCCTTGTAGTCCTCCCAGTTCAGCTCCGTCTCTCCGGCTTTCTTCTTCCCTCTCGCGATCTCGAGATGCTCTTCCTGAACTCCCCCACACCCGAAAGATACGACGACAGTAAATATATACAGTTGAAGAAGAACAGAACATCAATAATTTTCTTGAACTCTGCTTTTGATGCGTATTACCCTCAGCTGGTCGATTGCTCTGGGGCAAGCCTGCAGGAAGAAGATGGCCAGAGCAATGGCGACCGAGGAGGTCTCGTGGCCGGCGAAGAGCAGGCTCAGTATCAAGTCCAAGATCTGCTCGGTCGACAGGTTCGAGTGCTTCAGCACCCACCCCAGCAGATCGTCGTCCTCCCTCGCGCCCTCCCCCACTCCTCCTTCCTTCATCCTCCGGACCCTCCCCTCCATCTTCCTCTCTATGAACTTCAGAATCGTCGATCTCGACTGCAAAAAAGTAAGAACTTTGGTAAAGGGAAAAGCAGAAAATGGTTCTTCGAGGCAATTGATGTCTTTGGAAGAAGGTGTCGTAAGCGAGGCACTGAAATAGCACAGTGCGCGAAAAGGAAATGGAAAGCCTGAGCCACCCTAAGTTGTTTTCTTGATTAGGGGAGGGTAAAGTGATTCTGGGATTTTCACGTGAACTGAGACCAATCAAATGAAGAAATTAATGGGTAAAGAAAAGAGGCGTTTCGTTACCCGCAAAGCCCTTCGATAGGCGGTTCCGGGGAAATTCAGCGGCGGAGACACCACGCCTTTCATGAAAGTGACGTACTCCTTCTTCAGCTGCTCTGTCTCCGCCTCTCCGGGGTCCAAGCTCATTATATGCTTCGCCATCAGATTGAACGTGAACTGCATCAGCGGTGGACGCAGAAGCTTAGACCCGACAGAAATTCGGCAAGATTATACGCGAATTTTTCATATACTGCGATAAAAATTACTGAAAATTTGCACGGCGCATATAAGGGAGAAGGGGACACGACCCCACCGGCCTCCTGAGATCCGTCATTGCTTCCATCATCTTTTTCTCGGAGCCCCCGTAAATGTGTAGTGAAATTTATCAAACAAGAAGACTTGTTTCTAAATCAATCTCTCTCTCTCTCTCTCTCTCTCTCTCTCTCTCTCTCTCTCTCTCTCTCTCTCTCTTTCTTTTGTTCTTTGTTTGAGGTTACCTTCTTGGCTTCATCTTGAGCAGAGAAAGTGCAGTTCTCCTTCCAAGAGCTCAACACGAGCAGAGTGCTCTGCTCGACTTCCCTGAGCAGGACGGTCCTGAGCCTGGCGTGGCTGAGGAAGTTGAGGGAGATGATCCGCATGTCCCTGTGCATGTCCCCGACCAGGACCAGCATCGACCACTTGCCGAGGATCCCCCCGATGCTCCTCGGATAGCTGCACTCGAACAGCCTCCCCTCGTTCTGCAGGATGAACCGGTTCAGCTCCGCGTCGGCTGACACGATCGTCGGCTCCCCGAACAGATTCGACCTGTATATCTTCCCAAACCTGAAAGCCCAGAAAACGGAACAGAAAACAGGGTACTCTGTTTCCGTGAGTTCTCTCGATTGGTTTCTTCGACGATGGGGTCGGGGGTCATCTACTGATTTACCTGGAGATGTGCTGGTCCATGAAGGCTCCGATGGAAGTGGCGGAGTAAGGCTTGAGGTAGGCAATGGTCTCGCCGAGGAAAGGCCAGCCGGCGTGGCCGGGCGGGAGGTTGAGCTTGAACCGCGTCTGGTGCTTCCTCTGGATGAGGATGGAGACGAGAAGCAGAGCCAAGATTGAGGGAAGGAGGCAGAGGATTATTAGCTCGGAGTCAGACATGGATGGCTGACTCTCCCTCTCCCTTTCTGATATTGTTGTATGGTTTCTGTGGAATTCTGCTGAGCTGTTGCTGGAGAGAGTGAGGAAGGAGAGAGAGATGAGATCAGATATGTGCTTTCCGGAGGCTGTACATCTGTTGAAAAGATACTTCCATTTGGCGTCCAAAAGTAAAGCTTGGAGCTCTCGAGGAAACCAAAACTGCCTACTTTGGAGACAAACGCATTTTAGCATTTGGCCTTTATATGCTTTTTCCTTCGTGCCGTGGGGTACTTACACTTTGCTGACTCCGGTAAATTTTTAGCCTTCGACATGAACAGAGCGAGCTGAAACCATTAGATTATATTGACGCTCAGATTTTTTTGGTCCATCACGGAACAAGTGTAGATAAGAATTTCGCTTGTGTTTGGTTCGGTAGACCGCGTCGTTCGCATTGGAAACTATGACCCGAGAAGGGGATAAAAGAAAGAAACAAGTGTTGGTGACACGGACATGACCGTTAAAGACTTTTTGGAGCGTCCGGATAAGCTCGAAAAATCTAAAGGCAGGTCGGGACCAAGAATTCGCACGATGCTCGGTAAATAGTCCATGAATTTTTATCCGAGAGGAGCCATGGCACCCATAATACTAATCAAGTGACTCGTATTTAGCGTTGTCCCATGCCTTAATGAGGGTCCTTGCTTGCCATTGTTTCGGGCCTTAAAATCCATCCTTTTCATGGTTTTGGGCAACTTTTTAATTACTAGGGTTATTTTCTACTACCATCGTTTTAATCCAATTGTCCATTTTCCAATTTTTTTGATCAATTATGATTTTGGATTATGTTAGGATTTATGGGTTCTTATTTGTTATATTGTAGGGTCTCGAAAAGATTTTACAGTAATTTTTAGAATACATAGAGAAAGTTTTCTTCAGGATTTTGCATGTGAGGAATTGTGCGCATGTGTGCGTGTTTGTGAATTAATTAAAAGTTATACCTTATGTAGCATTACTATGATATTACATATAGAAATCCGACAGAGTGTAAAGAATAAATGGATTCGAGGTTTAATTTAATCGGTAGTAGAAAGACGCTTACTTAGCAAACATTTAGATCCGTCTCCATCCTACTTGTCCTCGACGTTGATATGTTACGCTGGTTGAACAAGTTGAGGTTTCGATAAGTTTTCTATCTAATCTTTGTATTCGGCAACCATTAACAATATATCATGAATAGCTCATTTTACCACATGCTAATTGGCCATGTGAAGAATTCCTCTAGGAAACTCTATTCGAAGATGGGTCATGTTAACGAGTTTCTTCGTATTTTGAAATTGGAAAAATTTCTTATTAAACATGATTAATAATACCCGAGACACAGCATCTTATTAAATAAATTGTTGTGGTAAAAAAAACTTTTATTTTTTGCGCTAAGTACACTCCAAACAGGTGCTGAGAAGATTCGATATTGTCCAATAATTTTAAATTATAAGGGCATGATGCTTTAAGGTATAGGAGGCATAATAGGCTAACCCCTTCTTTGCCAACATTTGCACACGTCCTTTAGATCACTCTACTTCCATCCACTTTAGACAAGAGCACTTGCAAATTAGTCACTAATTTAAAATATCATTTAAATTACAAAAAAATGAGAATTTATATGTGAATTTACATATCAATACCTGTAATTTGTAGAAGTTTGAAGTGTTTCGGACATTAAAAAAGTCACAATGCCTCAGCCACCGGATTTTAGTTAAGTAAAATGTCCAGTTTTTTGGGAGCTCGTTGCCCCGCCTTGTTCATTAATATTCATTATCTTGTGCCTTTCAGATTACTAACAAAAGAAAAAAAAAAGAGAAAAATTATGGGATTAAATCGTGATTTTCGGAAGGGCTGTGCATGTAATTGACATGGTAATTGCTTTCCTAGACTGTATCAGACATTGGAAATACAGACTAAATGAGTCTATGTTGAAGAAAACTTCTCGGTGTGATATTGAATATACATTATCGAAGACGAAGCTCCTTACAAGAGTGCGTCCCGTATGGTTGTAATATTGCAGCGATCATGGTATTTCTCAACATGCGATTGACTCTAACCGATAGAATGAATCTGTCACATACACGATGTGTGATTTCTTGGTCCAATCCTACCTTTTAGGATTTAACTAATTCAAACATTCTAGGAAGTCTTCACCAGCTTCACCTGCATCACATTTCAACCATCCATTTCTTCCATTGAATGTTGGATGATACCGAGAAATCAATTGCCATCTCAGCAAACTAATTGTCATTCTAGGATGATGGGCTAATGGGACTGAATCTGAAGCAAATCCGCACACATAGGAAAGGAAAATAAATGAACTGAGGTTCAATTTATTTCGTGTAAAATGAATGATTTGAAATTTTTTCATAAAAATGATCATTTACATCAGTTACAAAAATGAATAAACGAAAAATATTTTCTTTGTCCATGAAAATATTTGGATGAATTATTATCGAAAATGAAACCATTTTTCAATTGACTAATTATTTCAAGTGAGATAAATGATCATTTTTAGAAGAATATTTTTTAATTATTCATTTTCCATGAAATAAACGAACCCTTAGGCCTTAGATTCACACGACATCGGGTATCAGCATGTGAGAAGTGCAAAACACTGGAAAAGATTTTCCGATTCAATGTTAAAAGCTGTCTAGACTACTCAACATAACAATAAGGTGCAAACCCTATCCCACAAATTTTTGGAATATAAGCCTATTAAATATTTAAAACTATATATAACATCTGAGACTGTTAGAATATGTCTCGAGTTTGATATCGAAGCGAAAACTTGAATTTTGGAAATTAAAAAAAAAAGAATTCGAGGCAAGTTTCGGAAATTAGCTTTTCGTGAGTTGGAGTTTTGCCCACTAAAAAGGAAAGTCTAAGTGAGTCTTCTTCTTTGACTCGGTAAACATGGGTGCAATATAAAAGATGGGGATTAACTATTGAAGTCGGGAAGAAATCAGTAGAATTGAGTACAACGTTGGCCTAGAAGACTTTGACCGTGAAAGAGGAAATTGTGGACTTCTTGCCACGTGTGTAAGGGAAAGTTGGATTCGGAAAAGGAAATAAGTATATATTTGCATGGAATTTTTTTTTTTTTGGTCTATGACCTCCCGGTATCTGGGTATCCCCGACTAAATCCGGAAGCGAGCACTGTCGGACCCATAAGGGGGTGGCTCTCCTAGCACCGTTTGCTCCATACACAAGGCTCGAACTCGAGACCTTGCTTAAGGGAACCTAGGCTCCTTACCACCTGGGCCAACGAACGTTGGTTGCATGGAATTTGCTTCAAGAGAAACGTTGACCATGGACCCTAAGCATAAAAACGAGCTGTTCTGTTTTTCGGCGAACAGAGTCTTGGTGCGCCATTGTTGACGAATAACACTTCTTGAAGCGCCGCTAGCTTGCGAGTGCTTGGTGTGCGAAGATTCATGAATTACATCCATGAAGTTAGTGTTGAAGCCGATTAAATTCTTATGGTAAGAATTTGTATGTAATTCCTTCGTGAGATTGAGAGATTATTTTATGAGGAATTGTGGGGCTAAACACTACGTGAGTTATTGAGTGTAATTAGGACATGGGAAACATTTAGAGTGTTTGAGTGACTCGAGTGTAGTTGTAATCTCCGTCGTATCACTTGATTTATAGTGGAATTCCATGCTGCTCTCCCCGTGGACGTAGGTCACTACGACGGAACCACGTAAATCTAGTATCCGATTTATTTTCTTGTTCTGTCAATTTTATTGTTCGATCGTTTGACTTCCGTAACAGAAATACTAAGATAATGCCTAGAATCATGTGGAGGAGGCAATGAAGAAATATTTATTAGTTAAAGACAAGAAGAAATTTCAAACAATGCAAAGATTTTTCTAAAGAAATAATTGCCTCTTTATAATGTATGCTCTGTTTTGATAGTTACAAAAATGACTGAAAGTAAAATGTTTCACTTTGCAATGCAATAAAAACATGGTAAATACTAATGGTTTGTATTTGATTGTTATCCTTATATTAATAGACGACAGGAAAGTATATCTCCTTATGCATAGAAAACATCGTATGTACTCAAAATTATCATTTCTTTGTTGGTAGATTATAAATCTCACTCGACATTTTCGATTTATAGTATTATTTACACAATTCACGTATAAATGTCTATCACATGAAATACTATTTTTAGATACTCTACAGAATTTTACGATTTGATTTGATTTTCGCTTCATAACTTTCAGATTTTGATTCGCAATACGAATCTTCCATAAAACAATTATGCTGCCAACCTTCTAAATCAGTGAATTACAAATTTGGGGGCCTATTGGAGATGGCTTGTAAAAAAGAAAGAAAGAAAGAAATTGCAGTCGGAGAATTAAAATTGAATAACCTACTAGGTTCATGAGAGAAACATATTTTTTATTATTTAATTGTTATTAGTATGATTATTCTTTAAACACGAGACAAACATGTTTTTTTTTTTGGTCAAAACGAGACAAACATGTCATCGGTGAAGATTATTGTGAAAGCCGGGTTGCTCTCATTCCGACCTAACCTGAACAACCAATCGAAAATATTCTCTCTCTAATCAAATTATTATTATTATCTTCTTTTGTCGAAAATCTTTTCTCCAATTTCAAGTTAGTCACCATCTCTACATTATTTTGAATACAGAATCTTAAAATCTAAGAGATTTTAAACATAACTGGGATGGCAACCAATCGCTATGTTTGAATTACTAGTAAGGGACTTAATTAATAGTTATGACGACACTGATTGAATGAGATGACACGAATTCTCTCCGTCCTTCCCACGCTACCAAACACAACAACATCATATTTGGCGCTTCCACCCTGATCGTGGCTCGGGATTACTTGATCGTTAAGGTTAGTAAGATACTGCATTCGCCAAAGGTACGTGTATAAATCAAAAAAGTGCATTTCCTCGTCATGTGAAGTAAAACAAACAGACTATATTATCCTTTGGTTGACGTGAATGATTTTTTATAAGTCATCGCGCTTAGGGCTGTTGATGTATGATTTTTAATTTTGTCAATGAATCCACCCGAAATTATAAGCCTCCTACAGCAAAAGGCAGATGATTAGAAGGACATTCATGGAGGCAATCTGCATCTATAATTAGTTATTTTGCTGCTATTTCAAATCTCCCATTCATTTAGAATTGTGGAGGCAGAATAATGTAAACCAAAGCTATTGGTTAGATTATGTTCGGGT